CGTCTCGTCGTCGTCGTACGTACGTCTCTCTCTCTCTCTCTCTCTCTCTCTCTCTCTCTCTCTCTCTACGGTGTTACAGGTGAATTGTACCCGCCACACCAACCTCCCTCCCCCTAATGCCGCAATGGATACAAGGTTCCTTCAGTGTCGATGTAGGCCACCTTCCCGTTGCCACCGTGCATGGTAGTTGGAAGCTGCAATTTTGGTAGAAACGTTCATGAAAAATCCCCATGAATTTCGAACTACAGCTGCAATTTTGTAGAAACGTGCATGAAAAATCGCCATGAATTTCGAACTACAATCCAACTTACACACCTCATTTCTCTTTCGCTTGCTCCCCACAAACACTAGACTGGGGGGAGAGAGAGAAATTGAGAGAGAGAGAGAGAGAGAGGACAACATTGGATGAGGAATAACGAACCTGAGTAGAGACGCAGAGGGTGTGGGCCAACTGGGTCTTTCCCGACCTGAAAACAAATTTTGGTGTTCCGGGATCGGAATCACTTGATGGATGAAAAAAAGGAAGACAAATAACAAATGGAAAACTCCAAAATGGCTCTAGAAACTTAATTTTAATAATAATCTCAACAAAAAAGAGAAAATGAGCTCCCCTTTTTTCACCTGAATTCCCCAAATGCTTCAGTAATCGACAGAGTTTCAATACCACCTTCACAAATCCCAGTCACGCTTAAAATTTGAACAAACGTTTCATATATAATCAAGCATTGCTCAATGTTTTTCTTGGTACAACAGCAAATAAACGAAAAAAGGCCAAAAATGTTTGCCACCAATAAGCAGAACACAAGTACATCGATTCTTGAGCTAATATATTACTATCATGCTCTTGGCATTATTTGAAGTCTTTGTTATTTCAATTCAATTATCCAGATAGTAACTCGATTACCCAATAAACTGGGATATTGTAAGAGACTCGGAGTTATTATCTGCATTAAATTAAATCAAGAATCAAGATAAATAATAGTGAGCTAAATTCAATGGAAATAATTGTGATTAAACTATTAATAGATCGTTTTTAAAACGGATCACATATTTGAAGTTTGATAAAATGCATGAGCCAGAAAGTTAAGGAAGGGTATATTTTGACATCTTCAACAATGAGGGAGGGTGATTTGGTCGTTCTAAGGTATTGGCAAACTTACCACCGAGTAACTCATCCAGCGCTTGGCTGCCCGTTGTGATCCTAACCACAGCCTTCCTCTGTTAAATGATTATCATTTATATTAGTAATTGTACTGATTTTTACTCACCTAATCATTTTTTGTGTGCGTGCGTGAGAGAGATAGAATCGATTTTTGGTACTGTCATTTTAGAGAAAGAATAATCAGAAGTTCCAATCTTACTTTGAGAAGAACCTCGCTTCCTGTATAGTAACCGCAATTCTGTAAAGGAAAGACCAATATATTCAATAAGTGGGAACAGTAATTAGGAATCCGCACACAATTGAGCTAGTGTTCTTGATTAAGAAATGAAGCCGAACCACTAGCTTTTCCGCTGCTTCGCAAATCTTATCCACCTTTGCCTCTGATAATCCCTTGATACTCGTTAAACTCTGTAACATGCATGAAATTGAAAGTTTCAGTACCTCAACACTGGAAATTACAGCCAAATCATCACAGATCAATAGTCATTCTTATTATCAAAAGTCATTGCAAATCGAAGGTCAGTATTGTTATCTCTTGGTGTTATAGTTTGTACTTTATAGCAGCAGAAAACAACCAATTGTTATCGTATTGAGAAGAAAACAGCCTTCTTCCCTCTCTGTTTTGACCAAAACGCCCTCATTCCATTTCCTTGAGGAGAGCACTCTTCCTCCTTTTCGGAAGTCCAACCCCCTTCTACCTTCGCATTTGACAAACCGCACCATTCAAACTCACTCCCTCTCTCTCTCTTTGAAATCACATGTGCCCTTACTCTTCCTCCTTCCACGAAGTCCAACGCCCTTTCTTCCTTCTCATTGACAAAACACCCTACTCAAAAACTCTCACCTCCTGCCAAAATCGCAGGTGTCAAGATTAATGATATGCGTACGTCCTGCACTCCAGATGACTTGGCCACTTGCACTCATTAATCGTCCTGGACCTTCCATGCCATCGAGACATCCGTCCAAACGGGATACAAGCAAGAGCATTAACGAATGACGAGAGCACCCTTCTTTTTTTTCATGATTTCCCTCTCCGTTAAGTGGGGTTTATACAATTTGCACACTTTATAAAATACAAATAAGGCGTATGTCTAAATTTTGGCTAAATATATAAGTTTTACTGTCATAAATCTGGATTGAAATTCTATGTTTAATCTTAACTAAAAAATTTTAATTTATAAAAATAGTATGAAGCCAAGAAATCTATGAATGCTTAAAGGGAAAAGTTTATACAAGGTTGCAACCTTAATGTAGACTCACATTTACACCTCAAAAATCTATCGAAAATGTTGTTTTAATACTGAAAAAACTTTCTAATCGATCATCTCGACATTGAGATATATGAATATGAAAAAAAAAAAATTTGAATGTTAGAAATAGTGCATCTTGCAATAAATTATCTAGACCGTCTATTTTCAAAAATTTTATAAATCTACTTGATTTTAACCATTTTTAAAATTTAAAATTTTCTAATTAAGTATGAAAATAGATTTTAACATAATAGTAATAATTATTTATATCAAAATTACATGTTATGATAAAATTTTAAGATGCGCGTTGATTGGATTGTTTAAAACGGTCAAAATAACTTTATACAAATACATCTAAACTTTAAGATGATCAATTGAAAGTCTTTCGACCTTCATAGCACTCTTCTCGTTAAATTTTTGAGATGGAGCTAACTTCTAGCTATACAAAATCAAAAAGCATAAAAGAGAATATTTTATGTTAGTATAAAGAGGTTATAATCACTTTTTTCTGTTAAAATTCAACTATTAGTAACTAAAAGAAAAAGTTTATATATAGCTAAGGCTTTAAACAATCAAATTGAAGCCTACTACAAAAATTTCACTAGAAGAAGTTGTTTTTGATACATAAATATCCTCAAATTGATCGTCTCGACGTTAAGATGTATGGACATGAGAAAAAAATAGATTTTTGTTTTGAAAATAGTGTATTTTATAATACATTTTTTGACCGTCAATTTTAAAGATTTTCAAGTTTACATAGATATGTCAATCTACACTATTTTTTAAGCTTTAAACTTTATAAATAAAGATAAAAATATATTTTAAAGCTATCACAAATATTTTCAATATTAAAACCACATTTTTCGTTAATTTTCAATATTAAAACCACATTTTTCGTTAATGTTTGAAGGTACGAGACTCTAAACAAACCGCACCCTTAGCTAAATTCAATATTTAAAAGAAAAAATTTTCAAACATCTTAGCACACTGCGAGAAATCCACTTTGATATCTAATATGATGATGACCTCCGATTTCGTTAACAGGGCCTTAACACCAAGTCCTACGTGTCCGATCATAACACAATACGTGTCACGTACGTCCTGCACGTTCGACTCGTGAAGATTGAAAGTTCGGAGGCGACTTGGGACTTTGCACAAGTAAATCCAGATATCAGATGTCATCAAACAATCTCGACCGTCCAGATGGGACACCAGAAAGCGCAAAGTTTCCAGAGATGGAAGAGGGCTAAGGGTGAACGTGCCTTCTTTGTATGCATCATAAGGCCATTACATGTGTAAATCCCCGCGTCTTGAAGTTTCTTAACATCGCCCGCGTTTATTCCCTGAGCAATGACTGCACACAACGAATAACCAAATTGAACAAAACGCACCGAAAAATTGATGAAAAGCCGAAAGTTTAATTTTTCACGTTTGGGACAAAGGACAGCACGTATGGAAAGGAAAAAGCGGGAGAATAGACGGATTTATTCAAACATTAGATCGAAAATATTGGTCTCTAGGTGGAAATAAGTGCTAAAAATAACAAAAATTGGATGAAATTAAGTGAATGAACAGTGTAAATTTAAAGTACATTTCAATTATCTGACATCACAGAATAAAGCGAAATGGAGAAGAAGCGATTTTGGGATGAACCTAACGGAGGTGAACAAGCGCGTTAACCGGACATATCGACGTAAAATAAATAACGAAAACGAATGTATTTTATTAGAAAAATCGAGGTAAAAATCACATTAACAGAGGCCCTGATATATGGATAACGTTGAGTTCAAATGAATGACAAAATTGAGGCGTTTTAGTGGAAGATGCTTATTTCTAATTCGAGGCATGACTGCAGTCAACGAAAAGACAAAAGAAAATGCTAAAAATTGATAACAAGGGTGAAATCTTTTGAGGAAGATGCATTGTGTCTTTGTTATTGCAGAGAACAACAGCGCGAAGAAAACAGGGGGGATAGATGAAATTGGGGAAAACAGCGGGAAGAATAAATATGAGATTAACTCGATAATTATATATCTAAAATGAATATAAATTAGGCCAAATGAACTAAGAAATCCGGATTCATCCATTCATTAATGAATGATGAGATGCAGTGGAAACTGGCTTAGAAAACTCACGCTTATCAATGGATTCAAATGAAACATCCTCATCTTCGAGGTCATCTGCTTCAACCAATTGTAACGGATGCTGATCTTCTGACCTGGAATAAAAAAACAGGAAACAATCGTAAAATGAATCAATGTCTCGCAGTTTCAAGAGTCTGACCTATGAATCAAAATATTAGAAGTTTGATGTTTAGAACATTAATCGCTGGCTGATCTTGGAAAACAGAACAACTCTGCCATTAAAGGAGCTGATCCTTCCTCAAATTGATGCAAACTCAACAAACGGTTGCAGATAAACACAACCTCGTAAAGAATATGAGTTTCTGAATGGACACGTCAGATTCAAGAAAGGAGATTCACAAACCTGAACCGTCCATTTGAATTAAACAAGATCTAAGCTATTCATTGTTCCCAAATCCTCCATGAACGGTTCAGAGTTTCTCAAAGGAACAGACATAGAGAATGAAATTTCAGCCTGAATTATCGAGTATAAACAAGCAGAGAGAGAGAGATTTGAAATCCTGCATTTGAATGGTGAGAAAGAGAGAGATTTGAAATCCTGCATTCGAATGGAGAGAAAGAGAGAGATTTGAAATCCTGCATTTGAATGGAGAGAGAGAGAGAGAGAGAGATATTTGATATCTAGAATTTCCATGGAGAGAGAGAGAGTTACTTGAAATCCTGCATTTTGAATGAAAACTCGCAGACTGGCTTCTTCTGGTTTTTGAGTAAAATGAAGTGAAGCCCTTCTTCTGGTTTTTGAACGGGAGATGGGCGATATTTATAGGACGAACAAAAATGAAGTGAAGCTCGGGTTTTTTAGCGGGAGATGGGTAATTTTTATGGGACGGGAAAAGGGGAGGGAAAATGGACGCGGGTATGAAAATTCGAGATCTGGCTTTACCAGTGGTTTGAAGTCCGTAAATTTTGACATATGGTTTACGTTCAGTTGGAGATCTGATTTAAATGGACGGTTCAGATTCATCCATTTAAGTTAGAACAAAATTTATATAAGGTTGCAACCTTAAAATGTAGAACTACATATGCATCTCAATAAAAGTTGTTTTAATGTTGAAAAACCCTCTAATTGATCTCTCCATATCGATATATATGAATATGAAAAAAAATAAAAAAATTTGAGTTCTAAAAATAGTGCATCTTGCATCACATTATTTAGACCGTCAATTTTCGAAAATTTCATATGTTTATAGATCTACTTGATTATAACTATTTTTGAACTTTAAAATTTTATAATTTGAGATTAAAACAGATGTTAAGATAATCATAATAAATTTTTACACCAAAATTACATGATAAAATTTGGAGGTGCGCCTTAATTGGATCGTTTAAGGTTGCAACTTCATAAAAACCACACCCTTTAAATTGTGACATCGCTAAAAAAATTCTGTTCAATGCAATTCTACAATGGTTGAGCTCATCTCAACCCTACAAACCTATGACAAACCATGCCGATTAAATCGAGTTTTATAGATCGGATGCATCTTTTTTTTCTAAAGTTAGCAAAGGTCCAATTGATGGGAAAGGTTTTTATACTTCCCAACACTTTCCTACAGCATAGAAGATATATACATCATTTTTAAATCAAATGAGACACTAACCGTTTGATCTAGATCTGATGCTTCATAGCATTTTATTTTTAGTTTTTTTATAAATTGTATTAATATGAAATTTGGCACGTACATGGGGTGCACCGAAAAAATATTAAAAACCATTCTTTGATAAAATATAATGATCTCTTAAAATTTTTATGAGTATTTTTGTCATTTTATTTTATTGAAAATATTTTTTAATTAGTGCAAATTTAAGAGAGGAGTGGACACCGACAATATGGTGTCAAAATATTTTATAGAAAAAAATTTAAAATAAAATAGTGTAGAGATGTAACATTCTGATTAGGGCTATCTCTGCCGTTCACTCAAAATGATAGTTGGATAAGAGGAAGTATATATATTTTATGTTGTAGGAGAAGCATAGAAAGCTTGCCCCTGATCGATACCCACCATAGCTAGACAAGTCGAGGGGTAATAAAATATCTACCAACCAAAATATCAGTAATAAAGCGGTTTTATTTCAAAATTTTGAATGAAAAATTTGGGTAAAAAACACGAATTACAAAAATATAAGTAAGTTATCGAATCGTGAGTATTTTGGATTTGGTTAAAAAAAATAGAGTGAAAAAATCAAATATGTAAAAATGACACAATATAGGATTATGATTTACAACTATTGCATAAATATATTAAAGCCATTAAACAATGATTTTATAGCCTTACTAGTGTTTTTGTTGAAACTTTAAATAAATCCAGCAACAATACTTACTCTGTTGTCACAACACAAGACATATCATAGATTTATTGGGAGTATAAACTGAAACAACAACATTACTAAACACAATAACCGTGAACTAAGGTATAGGATTATTTTCAAAAGAAAAAAAAACCCTCGATATAGGATTATAGATAATTAAGAAAAAGAAGATAAGGCTCAAATATGTAAAATAGTGATCCATTGAAAATGCTATATTGTATACACCAATAAAACATGAAATTCATCAAACTTTTCTATGCATAAAAGAAGCAACAAAATGCTTAATATATTGCTTGTATTCCTAACTACCTAAAAGCCAAAAAAAATATATTTCATTGGGTAAATCTTCTTCTAAATTTACCTGGTTTTTTGAGATATATGATTGTTTTGATTACTTTTTTTTTTATAATGCATTGCTTGTATTTTTTAGTTCACCTTTTTAAGGAGCTCATCGGGGAAAATTTTTGTGGAATTTTTTGTTAAATCAAGATTCTTAATTTAATCTCATTGTTAATATAATTATCTTTAACCAAAATTCAATAAAATTAAGTTAATGAAGAAATAAAATTATAGGGAATAAGTTTTTTTAAAAAAAGATAAAATATGGATTTATATCGGTTCTATTAAAAAACCACAATTCATTTAATATCTTTTGAAAAACTAGGACTTCTTAACAAATTTAAAAAAGGGCAATGATTTCATGCAACCATTTTATAGTAATATGATGCAGCAACTTAAAACAATTATCTTATGGCCATTTGTTTGATCCAATTTTTGAAATATATATACTTTTCATTCTAATGAACACTCATAAAAAAGAGAAAAAATTGAAAACACAACCTAAAAAATATTTTTTTAGCCCAATTAACATAGACCGTTCATTTTGGTGAGATGCTTAGATCTAGGCCTTAGAAGGATTTGTTCATTTCCATTTTTTTTGGATGGGTTTATTATCATTAGATGAACTATGTTAAAAAAGAAAAAAACGATTTTAAGTTCATAAAGGCTAAGATCTTGAAATTCACAAAATGATTGGTCTAGATTCGTTTTTGGAGGGGACTCATTTTGACCATATATAAGGTTAAAATTGAATTTTTTTGGGGAGGGATTGATTATTGAGATGAAGAGAGTGTGTGTGCAAAATTTGAGGTGATACAAATACCACAAACATGGTTTTCTATAAGTGTCGTTGCATTATACTATGATACAACCGTTACATTGGATCATTGGTCTTTAAAAAAACAAATATTTTTTTTAAAAATCAAAATATTTTTGAAATAATCCAATATTTTTTGAAGAAACTGTATTTTAAATGGATACTTGCTAACTATGTACCCCACCCATTAGACTGATGCATGAGTAATGTACATGGGTAAACTACAATTAGGGGGCCGTTGTGTACCAACAAAAATATTGCCTATTGAACTATTTAATATATAATTGGGGAAATATATTATCTAGAAAATGCGCTTTTGTTGTGTGGCTAACATTTGGACGCATCCTGGGGAATATATTGCCACTATTTGGCTACATCTCAAGGAACATGTCAAATTTCAAAAATAATTATACTTTATTTGTATAATTACCCATATTTTGGCGTGGATAAATTGCATGTACTTTACTTATTGTAATGCAATATTTTTTGTTATGTTGGTCGTATTTTACCTTTTTTACGAGTGAGAAATACAGTGAGAAACAATGTATTTCCTCTTTTTTTATGCTAATAAAACCTTTATCTGATAGGTATGCAATCCTATTAAAATAAGTAAAACCTCACTTCATAATTCATAAAATTTGCAATTCAAGTGTCGAAAGACCTTTAAATCGATCTTCTCAGCTTGAATATTATGGTTGTGAAAACAAATTAGGATTTTAAGTTCTAAAAACTATGTATATTGCAACAATTTATCTACACCATCCATTTCCCCCAAAATATAAGTGTTAAGATATCCACAAGATCAGTACCATTTATTGAGTTTCAAATTTTATTGTCGGTGCTGAAAATAGATTTTAGAGCCATCATGAATATCTCTGATGCCCAAAGTGCTTTCCATCTTTACAATAAAACCACATATAAATGAATACTTAACTTATAAATAATCAAGGCACATTAGTGTTTAATTGTCGTTGACATTCTAAAACCAAGAAAAAGTCTCCAAACACTATAACCTATAAATTAAAAAGAATTATAATATCCTCCTTCACTTCAATGCCCAAATTATAACCAATAATCCCTGTTCTTTTAAGTTCGATGAACATTGTCACCATTTACGATTACAAAGGATTGCGATATGGTTTTGCACAATATAAGTAAAAATAATGAAAAATACGAGTACAGCAAGAATACCATTAGTTACCTATAGAAAAAATAAAATATCTTGGCTGCTCCAAGTTAAAAAGGTTGGATTGTTGCAATGGCAGCAGTTTTTGGAGTGTGGAATGATACAAATTGAGCAAATTTCTAAACACTTAAAGCTTTCAATAATGGACGGTTTAAATAATGTGTTGCAAGATGTATTGATTTGTGATTTGAAATCTTTTTTTCCTTATATATCCATATATCTGGAGGTTGAGATGATCAATTTGAGGGTTTTCTAGCATCGAAACAACCTTTTCCTATAGTTTTTTGAGGTGTGCCTTACTTCAATAGTATAAAGTTGACGCCTTCTATTAACTTTTTCATTTATCAAGTGATAACAAATTATATCAATGAGATAAATACGCACCAACACATAATCATTCCACACAGGATCCTCAACAATAACCATCTATGTTGTTTCGTCCCAAGCAAACCACTTTATTATTTATTTCCTTCACAATCCTAGTAGTTTTTGGTCCGAGTTCTTTGTTTATTTTTTTGCAACATCCCTTATCAGATCCATTCCAATTTGGAATTTCATTTTTTTTCTATAATAATGTATTGCTCATTTTTAAAAGAAGATTCTAGCTTCTTTAGCAAGCTGCGCTCGACAAGTAACTCCAATATAATTGTTTGTATTTTTTACATCCATTGCAGTCACCTCCCCACCTTGGGATATGATTGAACTACAAGAATTTCTTTCTCCAAGTCTAGCATAATGTACAACATATCTATATATGTCCATTGTAGGTACTAGCATCAGGCTAGATCTAGGGGCACCTCGGTTTGTTGCCACCCTTAAATTGTATATTGAAAATTAAGAGGGCAGAATCGAGAGTGAGAAGGATACATGGGGGCAAAACAAAGCCCCGTACCCTTCTTGCTAAATAGTAATTTGCTCTATAAATTATAAGGTTGTGATTTCATGCAACGGTTGTATCATAGTATAATGCAACAACACTTATAGAAAACCATAGTTGTAGAATTTGTTCTACCTAAAATTTTGCATATACACTCTCTTCATTAGACCATTCATGTGGTGAATTTCAAGATCTTAGCTTTTGTAGACTCAAAATCGTTTTTTTGTTATTTAAAGTTGTTCATCTAATGATAATAAAGCCATCCAAAAAAATTGGTAATGGCAAAATCCTTCCACAGCCTAGATCTAAACATCTCACCAAAATGAACGGCCTATGTTAATTGGGCTAAAAAAATACTCTATAGATTGCATTTTCAAATTTTTTTTTTTTGTGATTGTTCATTAGAATGAAAATAGTGTATATTTCAAAATTTGAATCAAATAAATAGCCATAACATGATTTTTGAAGGTTATTGCATCATATTACAATACAAATGTTGCATGAAACCATTGCCCTAAATTATATAGTATATGTAGGACATTTTTAACAAGTACATTATCAGTCTTACTGAACTGTGTAAACGTTTGCCCTAACGATTTCTCAGTTTTACTTAACTGTGTCAAGGTTTCCCTAGATCTGGCATGTATATTTTTTAGCTTATTTGGTCTTCTTCTTTTCTATCCACTTTGCTTAAGGAATAAAATACCTATCATTTTAAGGTTTCCGTTTATTGCAAGAGATTTTCATGATCTAGGGGCTTTCATGGTTTCGGGTTTCCATATCTTTTAAGGAACTGTTCATTTGTTGCTGAGTTTCTCTGCATGGCTGAGCATTTAGTTATGTTGTTAGAACAGGTTCGACCGGTGAACGGAAACCTTTTTTGATCAAGCCTAGCATTTGAACTAGGAGATAGCCTAGCATTTGAACTATGAGGTAATGTGAAGTGGCAATGATGAGATGGAGGTGGTTTGGGTACTTGAAAACGTATTACACGTAAACATATTACATTGAAATATGAGATTTATCATGCTACACTCCAATAGTAAGAAAATAAAAATAAATTACACAAGATTTCTCCACAATACGTGAAATCTATTACAAGTAGGATGGTTATGAAATCGACGCTTAACGGTAATTTAATTATGACGCTAAAAAAAATCTCCTATCTCCTACCATTCTCTTTATCTTGTGCATATCCATTCTCCCGCTATAAAATCCTCTATCTCCTACCATTATCCTCTTTTGTGCAGCATTGTCTTGCCATTCTCTCTCCTGGGCACATCCATTTCTATTTTCTCTCTCTTATGTAGCATTGTCCTGCCTTTTATTCTCCTGCGTACATCCATTTCTATTTTCTCTCTAATGTTTGCCCATCCTCGGCACATCCATTTTTACACTATCCTGGCGCACATCCATTTATAGCGCTTATTAGCTAAATTTTTGGAAAAAAAAAGGATTTATTGATAAACTATATTTTATAATTATGTTTTATAATATTTTTTGATAAATTATAATGATTACCAAATGTTTCAGAAAATAAATATTTTTTTTGAGATTAAGGTTTAGATCGAGAGAAAAAAAGTGATAAGTTATATTTTATTTAAATTATAATGATTACTCTTTTGAAAAAAAAAACGATTTTTTGGGATTAGTGTTTAGATACAGATAAAGAAGTGATAAATTACTCACAATATATTACCTGTATTTTTTTTTCACATTTTCCTCCTCTAATATCTCAATCTAATTTTTAAAATATTTTTCCATTTCACAAATTTTTTTTTTAAAATACATCACCATTTACTATTTAAACTACATATTAACAATATTTAATGGTTGTGACTAAAACAGTACACTATATGTTTATGACCAATATTTATTCACATTATTAAGTTATTATTTTTTGAGGCATGACAAGCATGGTATAGTCATGTTATCCATACATATGCATTTCAATATTAAATAGGAATGTCTATAATGAGTCCATTTATCTTTTGTGAATGGAGGTCACAAATATTTTCAAATATTAGATGTCAAATTGGATGGTTTGAGGTCAGTCATGAAGTGATTTTTTTTTTTAAATTTTTTGTATTTATTCAATAACACTACTATAACCACCCATTTTGAAATTTAAAAGACAATAATGATTGTGCGCACAAAAGATAAATAGTCTAGTGGTAAACAATTCAATATTAAATCCCTATGTCCAATAAGAGAAATGTAAGAGCAAATTTAAAGGGTAATATAGACAATTCCATATTAAACCGTAAGAGCAATGTATTTTCCAAATTGTATCTAAATACTACTCGAACAACAACAATCTATTTGCATGTAAACCAAATAGTAAAAATCTATTGACATGTAATATATGACGCTAATAATATATTTCACATACAATATATTTATAGGTATCCAAACAACCCCTTTACGAGCTTGTTCAAATAGCACACCAATATTTTTGCGTATCCAAACAACCCGTTTATGGGCTTGTTCAAATGGTGGACGGGTTGGTCTTAATTGTAGGTAGAGATGATGTTTTCTATTCCTTCCCTTTCGCTTTTCTTATTCTTATTGGGGAATGTTTTTAATCAGAGAAATAAATATATAAATGTATAAAGGAAAGAATTGTTATTAAAAAAATTTACAAAGTTGTTTTTTTTTTTTTTACTTTTACTTTTACTTTTTACTTTTTAGTTTTTACTCGATTGTTTCCCTCACATTAAGCACGCCCCGTCGTAAGCTCTAGGACGTGATATTGTGGCAACACTCGCGAAAGGACTTGCAATTGGCCCGATCCATCCCTAAAAAAGTATGGTATAGGGCACGCGCTGTGGTCCGAGGGTTGGGCTAGGGCCAGGGCCTTCGCCAACCCATTTGGCCCGAATTGGCCTGCTTTCTTTCTTGTTTTTTGTTGTGTTTTTTTTTTATTTTCTTTTGGTCTAGCCGGACCCTATGGGGACAAGGGCTGGGACTGAGTTGGCCCCATAGGAGAAGGGCCAAGGTTAGCTCGGGCCATTTACCAACCCTAATTATGACAAAGCTTCATATGAGTTAATTTTTTATTTACTTTAATATTTAATTACTTCAATATTTAATAGTTTAGATCAGAAAATAGAATATTAAATGAATACATTATGTTATTTACTTGTTAGGTTTAGGAATTTAGTGTTATGTAATCTTAGAATATGTGCTTTTTCTTTTTAATGTTTAGTTGTTAGTTAGGTTATTTTAAATTGAAATTTAAAGAGCTTTTTAGAATTTGTAAATTCCCAATCAAATATTACCAAAAAATGTATATAAAAAGAAAATGGATTGTCTACAAAGAGATCATTTATCGTTTGTACATGGTCACAATCATTCTTGTCCTTTAAATTTTAATATTATCGTGACCTCCATGTACAAACGATAAATGGTCTATTTGTAGACAATCTCAGATGAAAAACCCACATACAGATGGAATTTTTTATTTTTATTTTTTGCAGACATGGTTTTAAATGTAAACTTTAAATATTATAACCTCTGCAATTAAAATTTATAAATGGTTAATAAAAAGTAAACCTAAAAATATAAGGAAAAATAAATATTGGGTACTTTGTTTGAAATTTTTTTTTTGTACTCTCGATTTTAAAATTTCAATTGTAAATTTTATGGGCTTTTGTAGTATAAAATAAATAAAATAAAAATACGTTGAGACATTGTATTATGGAAAAGGGCAATGATTTCAAAAGTTTATATAAGATGCAACTTTATAATGTAGAACTACGGATGCACCTAAAAAATCCATCAGAAAATATAGTTTTAATGTTGAAAAACCCTGTGATTAATCATCTCGAAATCGAGATATATGACCATGAAAAATAAAAAGATTTTAAGTCTCATAAATAGTGTATTTTACAACATATTATTTACACCGTCAATTTTCAAGATTTTTATGTGTTTATAGAGCTACTTGATTTTAACCACTTTTTTACATTTAAAATTTGATATAAGAATAGATTTTGAGATAATTCTAAGAACATTTTACATCAAAATTATATGCCATGATAAAATTTGAAAGTGCACTTTACCTATAAAACCACGGATGCATTCATATGCCAACTACACTCTTGTATTATTACTTCAAGAGTTATAATTTTTGAGATGGGTTTTTTACCTATTTTTTAAGGATACGGAGATGATGAATATAAAAAAAAAATGAATTTTTAAAATTAAAAATAATAATTTATTAATAAAATACTTAAGAGTGTTTTTAGAAGGACCACCCATTTGAGGCTATAGCCATCTTTAAGATGGATGGTTTATACCTCAGGAGACGCAAATGTAAAAATGCGTTCCCCGATGCATGGAACAATTTTCCTTTTATTAATTATTTTATTCCGTGAACTGCGTGATGAACGGTCCAATATAGCAGGTAACCTGACTGGTCCCGCCCAGACAACATTGTATTTTATGTATTTTTTCCTGGAGGCTTTAGGGTTTCCATCAAAACTTTCCTATTGTGTTGCAGGGTAAGAACGTCGCCGGATTCTGAAGTAATAAGGATCAACCAGAAGTTAACCAGAACCTTACCCAAACGGGCACCTAACATAAGGTTTTTCGATGTTCAGGCCCTTTGTTTTCAAGAAAACAATTCAGTTGCTGCATGACAAAGATTCTAGGGTTTTTTAATCCTGCAAAATTTTGGCCTTATGGAGGAAATTGAGCAACGTGATTGCAGCTCTGTGGAGAATGGGGTAAGAGATAGCGGAAATACTGAAAGCCAGAACGGAGCTGACACAAAGGTTTCTAAAGAGAATGACTCTTCTAGGGAAGCATTAATGGAGGAAATTGAGCCATGTGAATGCAGTTCAGTTGATAATGGTAGTTCAGTTGATAATGGTAGAACAGGACCCAGTAAAAACGATAGTTCTGATGTTTCTGGTGTAAAAGTTGACAGAGAGAATGGCTCTTCAATAAAAGAGAACGAGTCTTCCAGTGAAACTTCAATGGAGGAAATTGAACAATGTGAATGTCGCTCTGTGGATAGTGGCAGATCAGAAAACCTTGGAATAAAGATTCCTCGAACTTCAGTGGATTCTGGTTCCTCTGATTTTGACGATGATGAGGTTGCAGATATTTCGCGTCAATGCTTGGAATTTCAATTGGTTAATCTGGCCAAATTTCTCACGAATACAAGTACTCTTTATGTGTATAACAATATAATTAATTTGATACCAAGATCAGTAGGAACGTTCAAGGAATTGAAGACTCTGAAATTCTTTTCCAACAAGTTAAATCTCTTCTCACCAGGCTTCGAGGGGTTGATGGAATTGGAAACCCTTCATATTAGGGTTTGTTCTTCAGGGCTTGAGAGTTTGCCATTGAAGGAATTAAGGGGATTGAAAGAATTGGAGGTGTGCAAAGTGCCGCCTCGACCATCTGCTTTTTCTCTTTCCAGCGAGATTTCAAATTTGACATGCCTTACTAGACTTTCTGTTTGTCATTTCTCTATTCGGTATGTGCGTTTTATAATTCTGGTTTTTGTTATTCTGTTCTTTGCTTTCGGTAAATTGCGGTAGAGTTTGGCTGAATCTTGGTCATGTATAAGTAGAAATGAATGATTAGACTGTGAATCTGATTAATAAAAGGAAATTCAATCTACTATCATAGCCAGGCTTTATTAGTGGACGTTCACTGGTCCAATTGTTGAAAGATGTCACATTGATAAACCCTAACGTTTTGCTGTCTATTGATGTATACACAGAACAAGTGCAATCATAAACATAGTCATTTTAGCCAGCAAGAAAAAAAATAAAAAATAAAATCACATATTCTCCATGTGAACCAAGTAGAACAATTGAGGCACTCAAATAAGTTTTCCCTATTGTTCTTGTAGAAGTTTGCATTGCATTGCAACCATACGTCTATGTTTGTCTTTTGCTCTTGGATCAAGTAATCGGTTTCCCTTCACTTTACATGTTGTCTTTGAAAAAAAGGTAAAAAGGTCAGCACTTGAATGGGGCATTTCCATGTGAGACTGATTAAACATATGTGGAGATATGTTTCAACTTTCCACAGGAACATGAGGGCTCCAGAATTTCTATTCAGGAATATTGTTTCTCAGGTTTTTTATGTGTAGTCCAATTCTTTTCTACCCATGAGTCTTAAGTGGTTATTGATTATCTATCCTTCCTTATAATTCAATAATGATGCTTTTGGACATCGCTAGAACAACAACAGGCTACCCCATGTTTTGGTTTTTCCGATCCCCTGGTGCCCTTTCCAAATGCCATACATAATAACTTACACAAAAACAAATGTCTTCCAGACCTTGGCATTAATTAAATTTAATGTGGGATTTTACCATATTAGGGAAACATGCACCATTAGATCACAATATCAATGATGAAGTGTGCAGCATTGGATCTCAATTATCTTTTTATTCATTGAATACTCCTCTTTTATCTTTTGTGGGCTTAAACCTGCTGCCTGATGAGTATTTGTGATCTCCTAAAAGCAAGCATGCTATGAGCTTATTTGGCTGAATATCATATCTAGCATTGCTGTAACTGAAGGACTATTAGGCACAGATGCCAAGATTCCTTGTTCAGCCCACCTTTCATTTTTCTCAGTCGAGGAGTATGGCATGCATTGATGTGGAACATCATGTGAAGTATGTTCCATATTGTATATGTTTACCTTCTATGCCTTTGTTCTTGTTTCTGTGAACAAAGCTATTCAATTAAACAGTCCTCATTAATACGCAGGGTAAGAATAGTCATAGACAAAATACTGTTTATAATAGAAAAGAAGAAAGAAAAATCCCAAGTGCTTTTTGTCATATGTAACTTAGGATTTCCCCCCCCTATTCTTATCAGAATCTTAATGTCAATTGTAAAGAAACCAACTAAACCAAAATGGAGACATACTTCATAAAAAGGGAATTCTAATGTCTGTATAAGGTAACATTCAAATTAAATGTTGGTGAGTTCAGTGTATTAAAAAGATGACTGGGTTGGTGCCTAGGAAGCACCTTGAGGTGAGCCGAGCCCCTATAATCCTCCACCTAGGGACTGTCTAGGTGGGCTTGTAGTCCTTGGCCAAGTTAGGCACCTTGGCACGCCTTTGTTTTCTCATGTATTTGATATTGTCATAGAGAGTGTGTCTCTGTGTGTGTCTGAGAGAGAGAGAGAGAGAGAGAGAGAGAGAGAGATGCAAAGAATTTAATCCGACATTTTGAATGCATCTCTTTAACGTACTATGCTTTTAAATCCTAAACCCTAAAATGGATAAAAAAAATTAAATTTGATTTCAAACTTTTCATCACGCATTTTGTGGGCATCTGTTTTTCTCTCTTATGAGGACTTGAAGGGCATTACAATGTTCATATCTCTTTTCCTCCTTTGACAAGCACTTGGAGGACCTCTCTCTCTCCACGTTGCTAGTTCATACTGCCCTACAATATCTCTCTTTTATCAATATCCAAGACATTTTATTGAAACACTTGGAGGGTTTCTTTTCCTTTCTCTTCATTGATCACTTGGAGGGTTTCTCTCTTCATCCATCTCATCTGCCTTCTAAATCACTGCTCAACTCATTTTCAAAGAAAAACTACGGCTTTTCATATTAATCATGCGGTGAGTGGAATCTTTAAGAGCAAAAGTGATGAATGAATTAAATGATATAATGGGGGAAATCTATAACAAGTATTCAGATAAAGTAGGAATATAAAAAAGGAAAAGGGAAAAAATATGAAGTTCCTATCTTTCTTTCTCTTCTCTCTCTCTTCCTGTTTCATTCCATTGTAAAGCTACCTAGGAACCATTTCCATCACTTCTATGGATTTTATAAATTTATTATGAGCTTATAGTTTGGTGTGTTTATTTTGATACTCATTTTTTCTTTTCTTACAGATTTCTACCTCCTGAAATTGGCTGCCTAAAGAAACTAGAGGAATTGGATCTCTCATTTAATAAGCTGAAGACCTTGCCAAATGAAATAACTGCACTAATTTCCTTGAAATTATTGAAACTTGCCAGTAATAGATTAATGCAGATACCCATGGGCCTGTCAGCTTTGTCGAGCTTAGAAACAATGGATCTATCAAATAACAGGCTGACATCGCTGAGGTCTCTTGAACTTTCTTCTATGCAATCTCTACGAAAATTGAATCTTCAGGTAAAACTAATATTGAGCAGAGATGTCTCTGTTTTTCTTTTAAAAGTTAAATGAATCTTAATCCTTAAGCAGTTCCTTATACAATTTGCTCAATTTTGGATTCATATTGTTATATTCTCTCTATAAATATCTTGTTCTCTTTTCTGGTATTTTCTGTTGAACCTGGGGCATGCCCGATCCACAGGAAAATTCCGGTTACCTCTTTTGTTCCCTTTGCTCTTTATTTGATGTAAAATTTGATCATTCATTATTGTAATGTTGCATAGGAAAAATTCATAGTGATTATTTACAGCTCAATATTCTATGGCTTAGCTTGTATTTCGATGAATCTAACATGGTTTCTACCATTATATTCTGCATCATGCTTCCAGTACAATAAGCTTCGCACTGGTTGCAAAATTCCTTCATGGATATGCTGCAATTTGGAAGGAAATGGGACTCCTGCTGCTTATGATGAATTCGCCAGTTCTTCGAGTGATGAGGATATAGCTGATGCAGTTTTCAATAAGTCTGAAGAGAGTCATTCTTGTGATGGTGCGTCTCAATATGTTCTGTTGTTGAGCTTCAGTTTCCATACATACATACATGTATATACATAAATAAATGCATGCAGTTTTTTAAGGCTAATCTTCATTTTATTGCAATTTCAGGCTCTCGTAGATACCCTCCATCAAATCATCTATCCGAGACTGTGTTGACTGGTAGATGTTCCATGGTCCATAGGATGAGAAAAGGCTGGAGGCGTCGCGATCATCAACAAAAGAGAGCTCGCCAGGAGCGTCTTAATAGCAGTAGGAAGTTCAAAAGTGAAGATCTTAATGAAATGTGCACAAAAGTGAAACCAGAGAAACTGCTTGAGCTAGAAAATGAGGCACCCCAATCACAAGGTCATGAAGATAAAGAGAAACAATTATCCTGTGAGCCCCAATCTGGTCTTCGAGCCCATGATCCATCCTGCAGTACGAAAGATTCAGATGATATTGGGCTTGATGTTTCTGGAGAGGCTTGTCGTGAAAATTTAAATTATGTGAAGGATGACAGCATTGATTTAGAAAAGGGTTGCGATGAAGATTGTTGCTCATGTGTAATCTCTGAACCCGTCCACTTAAATAGTGAGTGCGCCGACAATTGTGATGAAGAGCATGAAGACATTTCTGCCATTCCCTTGAATCGAAAATGCAAGCAGATGGATGGTAGTTATTTGGGGTCACATGAAAATTTTGTAAAACCTAAGAGATTTTCTGAGGAAGCTCTAGATAACCCCAAGCCCAGCAAATGTCGAAGAGCTGTAGATGAACATTCAAATGTATCCTTCAAATATAGCTCTGAGTCATTCTGCAGCATCAATGACCATTTACCAGATGGTTTCTATGATCCTGGGCGTGATAGGCCTTTTATGCCCCTAGAGAAATATGAGCAAAGTTGCTGCCTTCATTCGCGAGAAGTAATTCTAGTGGACAGGTCAGTAAATTTTTCTAAATTCCATTTTGGATAATGGTTCGAAGCTAAACAATCACTTTCATTCTGCTTTCCAGATTACATCCATTAGCCAAACAAACTTGTTTTTTTCCATTCAGAGGAAGGGATGAAGAGTTAGATTCAATTGCACTAGCTGCCCAAGTACTGCTTTCTCGTTTGAATCAATTGGAGAGTGTGAATAAAGAAAATGGCAGGGCCGCAGTTGATGATTTGCGGAGAGCATCAGTACTTGCTCTCTTTGTTTCAGACTGTTTCGGTGGTAGTGACAAAGCTAGCAGTGTTGTGAAGATGCGTAAAGCTGTTTCTGGTTCGAATTATAAGCAGCCTTTTGTGTGCACTTGCTCAGCTGGAAACAATCTTGACACCAAAGTTCCTACCAGAGATGATCTTGCTGTTGAAGAAAGCTTGTTTTTCAATGATCTATGTGAGAGATCTCTGCGCTCAATTAAGGAGAGACGCAAGTCTAATATTGTCCCTTTAGGGAATCTGCGCTTTGGTGTGTGTCGACACAGAGCTGTGCTAATGAAGGTTAGTTTGAATATATCATGATATCGTGTCACTTTCTTTGCTTCACTTTACAAATATTTGGTACTTGGTAGCTTCTGTTTGTTTCCTGCAAGGTCTATTGGCAGTATATCTGGCACTGATCTTTTCATTTGAGTCAAGTTTCAAAAATCCATTCTGGTGGACTTTAATAGGCAGGGCCGTTAACCTTATGTAGTGGTCTTTGTTGTTGTTACTTGTAATGGAAATGAAATATAAACTTAAGCAATAAATGAATTATGGAATATGGCATAGTACACATGGTTTAAAAACAATGGATACAACCGGTGTTATATATTGTGGCTTTATAATTGATGTATTATAATTGGCTTTTCTTTAAATAATGGTCGTAATGGGTGTTATATCAGCCTTATATTTTTTTCAAGGAAAAAGTTTATATATGGGAGGGCCCTAAACAATTAAATTAAGGCACACCTCAAAATTTCACTAGAATAGGTTGTTTCGATGCCCAAAAATCCTCAAATTGATCATCTCAACCTCAAGATGCATGGACATGAGAAAAAATGGATTTCAAGTTTTGAAAATAATGCATCTTGTAATGCATTTTTGGACCGTCAATTTTCAAGATTTTCAAGTGTTCATAGATCTACATGATCTACACTATTTTTGAAGCTTTAAATTTTATAATTAGCGATGAAAATAAATTTTCAGGCTACCACAAAGATTTCCAGTATTGAAACAACATCTTTCGACATGGTACGAAGGTGCGCCTTACTTTGATTGTTTAGGGCCTCGGCCTTAAACAAACCACACCCTTTTTTCGATATTTTTTATCCAAGATACTGGCCTCTATGGTGTTACTTATCAGGTCTATGCTAAAATGCATGTTACTTTTTTTACAAGGGGTGTTTTACAAGGTCTGCCTGTTACTGTTTCATAATATAAAGGTCATGGGCCCTTACCTGATCTGAAAACCTGACCTGATTTGACAAGTTCGGAGGACTGATCTGTTGTTGGCCCAAAAGACTAGTCAATGAAAAGAAAATGGCAGGTCTTCTGTGTCTTGAGCATTTTTTTTTTTAATTTATGATTAGTGTGTGCTGGCGACATTTTGCTTCTGGTTGGTTTGACCTGACTGGGTTTTGAAAGACCCGATTGGCTCTGCAAGCTATGTCAACCATTACAGCTTTTCAATATTTGGAACCCAAGATACTGGCCTCTATGGTGTTACATAATGGCAGTTCTATGCTAAAATGCCTGTTAAATTTATTACAATGGATGTTTCACAAGGTCCACCTATTACTGTTTCATAATATAAAGGTCATGGGCTATTTAGTTGATCTGAAAACCTGACCTGACTTGACAAGACCTCTGGACGGGTTGATCTATTGTGGCCCAGAAGACTGGGTCAATAAAAAAAATTACAGGTTCTCTATGTCTCAAGGAAGCGATTTTTTTTCTTTTTTTTAAATTGATGATTGGTGTATTCTGGCCATATTATGCTCTGTACGGTTTGATCTGACTGGGTTTTGAAAGACCTGATTAGCTCTGAAAACTATGTTACTCACTACAGCTTTTTTTGTTAACCATTATGATGTCCTTTATTAATCGTTGTTTTCCCAGTTTCCTAAACATGTTTTGGATTTTGCAGTATCTCTGTGATCGGGCTGACCCTCCGATTCCCTGTGAACTTGTGAGGGGTTACCTAGATTTTATGCCACATGCTTGGAATGCTATTCTGGTCCGAAGAGGCGATGCCTCGATACGCATGATTGTTGATGCATGCCATCCTACTGATATAAGGGAAGAGACGGATCTGGAATATTTTTGCCGGTTCGTGTCATTCTCTTTCTCTATATTCCTTACTTATATGTCCTATTTAGTTCACTTTGGCATTAGAAATTCTTTCAATAAGTGTGACTACATTGAGCATCGAATCTTGTTTAGCAACTTCTGAGATCTAACACAAAAGCTTGCTGTTTCAGGTATATTCCATCGAGCAGGTGTCATGTTTCTGTGGCAACCGATGACAATCCAGCCATCTCATCAAATTCTTTTCCTGCTCTATCTGTGTTTAGTGATATTGACCAGGGAGCTTCTGGTTGTGTTGTTCAGCATTGCCAATTTGGGAATCTTGTTGCTGCTGCAAAGGTGTCCATTCATTTTGAACTAGAGTTATTTTTCAGATCTATTGTGCTCCTCGACTCCTGCATCAGTGGAGCCACTCTCTTGGATCAATTTATTTATTTTGCATCTCTGATTCCAGCTCTGCAAATTGGATCATGCATTCATGTGTTTAGTTGTATATTGGAAGCTTGGGATTCACACATCTCTATGAAGCAATTTAATCGATCTTGTATTTAACGATACTTGTACTTGCATGTTCCTTTCATTTTAAGTAGAAAAGAATTTGTTTCCTTTTACACATTTATTTTAATATCAGCCTTCACAATTATTTCTTACCATTATGCAGATGCGTACTTTGAATGCTTGTGGTGGTTCCTCAGATGAATGGAGGAATTTTGACTCTGCTTGTCTAGGTGAAATCAGAATGCTGTGTGCTTTAAGGAAGCACCCTTGCATTATTGAAATTTATGGACATCGTTTCTCCTCCGAATGGGTTTCTTCAGAAGATGGAAAACAATCACATAGATTATTGCAGGCTGCAATTGTGATGGAGTATATCAAAGGGGGTTCTTTAATTGTGAGATTTCAAAATTTTAGTCTCCTATCAAATTTTGATATTGCTGTTGTTTTGTTGCTTATTTCATTTCTAACTTACAGGGTTACATTGCAAAATTGGGGAAACAAGGTCAAAAACATGTTCCTGCTAAGCTGGCTTCATTTATTGCACGGGATGTTGCCAATGCATTGTCAGAGCTGCATTCAAAGCACATTATTCATCGGGATATAAAAAGTGAAAATATCTTGATTGACACAGACATGAAAAGGGTCGATGGCAGTCCAATTGTCAAACTCTGTGATTTTGATAGAGCTGTTCCTCTTCAGTCTTACTTACACTCATGCTGTATTTCTCATCATGGTACACCTTCTTCTGATGTGTGTGTTGGAACACCTCGTTGGATGGCTCCTGAGATGTCACGCACCATGCATAGAAGGAACAGATATGGATTGGTGAGTGCTGCATTATTTGTTTTTAAAGGTGTCAATGATTTTAACTGCCTGATTATGCATCATGAAAATTTGGAAGTGATCATCAGGTGCTTTTTAAGGATCATCCTCTACTTATTTCTCTTCCCTTCTATATATTCAACAAATAGTATTTTTCTCATTTCTTTGTGACTGTGTCTCTTGAAGCATCCTTTCCTGACATCTGTGTGTGAATGATCCATGTTTTATGTGTGAATTTGTATTTTGTGATGGAAGACTTGAAACTGCACTCATGCCTGTAGTCTAGGAGCCAACAATTGACATGGGTGCGTCACTTTAAAGGTTTCAGAAACCATGGTTAGGAAATCCTATGGGACTTTCTGTAGGTGATGTATGTTTTCTATTGCTGTTGTTGAACCTGTATAAGTCAGGGGTATATGCACTGCTTCTCACTGCATAGATTGCATATTTGAAACTGAAGATCAATTCAGCTTAATTTCTGGTTGCTTATATTGGTGAGCTATGAGATTCTTATGGGTAACTTGCCCATAAAAATGAACTTCACTGAGTAATATGATCAAATAAGATCAGGGATTTTGGACATGCTACGATTTCAGTTGGATTATGATCAACATCTGTGGTTTATTACTCCAGATTTCTCCAAGTTGTCTTGCCTGTGGCGCTTTGGGCATGTGGACTCGAGTCTTGAGTTGACTTGGTAATTCTTATGAATCTTATCCCATTAAGTGGAAACCTGGGGCTGTGATTGGGGTGAGATTCTCACAAGCCTCCTCTGAGAGTCCTATGAGAAACGTTGAGCTCTTCATACCTATGGTTCTTACATTGAACTGAATGAAGTAGAAACCTTGAGAGCTAGATTTTGCACCTATGGGGTTTCTTTCACTTCCTTCTAATCTGGCTTATTTGTTGGATATGTGTCTCTCTTAGGAGAGAGGTGGCTTTATCACGGTGGGCTGTTAATTGAAAGAGAATAGGTACATGATATGGGGAAGTTGTATTGGCTCTTTGTGCCTAGAAGTCTTTCATGTTACATTTAAGTTGAATTTACATTTGGCTGAGTAGCCTGATCTTGCATAAAACTTCAAGTTTGGCACTATGGTCATGATTTGGTGTACACATGATAACAGACAGCTTTGCTGTTGTTTTCTCTCGTGTTGGTGCTATGCGTCCTATTGTGTTGATTTCCCTTAGGGTTTGTGAGGCAATAGCAGCTATTTGCCTTTGCAAAAATGAATAAAGAACAGTGTACAGGCTTCTCATGTTTGGTGTTCTGTATTTCTTTCATAAATTTTTTTCTGTTAAGTATGTTTGCTGTTCTACTTGCTTGTTGAATATGCGGCTCTTTTTTAGGTGGTCCTTATTTTGGGGGAGATTAGAATAAAGATATAAGCCTTTTCAGTGTAGGACCAATGGAATGGTCCTACGCAAGCAAAACCATGGTTGGTGGGCTAGGTTGAAGCTAGATTGGGGTTTGATGTTTATGATTTTTAAGGAAGCAAATAGTTACAGTTTGCATATGGTTGTATTGATGGAATCTGGGTCAAGGGAGATGGGGTTTGCGTGGATGATTTGGGGAATTACGGTTTGGAGGGATGAGTTGGTGTTGTAAGGTTTCCGGTTAGGGTTTCATGTGTAGGTTGGAGGGTGTGTCTGATTTTGTAAATATGAGAAAGTATGTTCTGTGGAGTTTGCGATGGAGTACCGTTTGTTGGAGTTATTAATGATATAAGTTTCCAGGTTAGGTTTCGTCATGGATGATCTAGCTTAGATTAATTCTAGGGCTTAGGTTTGATTGTGGCATGGCTATGTTTAAATGAGAATTGGGTTGTTGTGGAATACGAGAAGGTTAATGGATGTTGGGTGTCATGTATAGAGAAAGAGGAAGATGGGATGGCATAGTGATGAATTCAACAAAGAAAAAAGGATGGCATGCTTGGAAGAGAGAATGATTATGGAGAGAGCACATGAGGTGTTTGAGAGAGGGATGGGTGGAAAGAGAGAGCAGTGGGGTTTGAGACCTGCACGGCACCAACTGGGTTGAACTTAGAAAGAATCAAACACTAAACAAAGTAAGGTTTTGTGGAATTGGCAACATGTAAGGCCTTGAGGAATTGGCAGTTCGACACCTCAAGATATGGAATCCACCTATAAAAGCTTAAAGAAGCAAATATTATTTGAAATCTTCAACTTTAGTGGTTATAGGTCTACACATGTATTTGTAGTGTTTCTGGACTCTTATTTTCATCATTCTTGGACCACATTTTAGCCCAATATTTAATTATAACTCAGAGGAAAACTAACAAATAGAGACCTACTCCCACATAAAAAGAAAAACAAATAGAAACCTACTCAAATTGGGAATAACCGGAGTTAAAAAAATAGCCAACTTGACTAGGATCTCTCCTGAGTTGCTCAGATAGGGGGCTGGCATGTCCGGAGGTAAATTTCAGAAGCCGCCAATTTTTTAAAGAAATTAGCAACTCTTTTGTTTAACTCACCATTCCAACTCAGGACTTGTCTGTGACTGGGTGACTCAGGCTGGGGACCCTGCGAAGTCTCAGCCCCAGATTGTGTTTAAACCACTGGTAAGTAGCTATAATGACTAAAAATAAGTATTCAAGGGAAACCGATCTCCCACTAGACTCTTTATAATGAAAGAAGATGACTTACCTAAATAAACTTTATTGAATTTTGATGTGGGAACAAGATGGAGAAAATAGAAAACACCAGAAAATAAATTAAGATGAGAGAACATATTCTCTCTCTAGGTGTGCAACACTACAAATGTGAGAGGTATGGCCCTCTCTTTAGGTCTTCAATGGAATCAACCCCCAAAGGTATTACCAAAAGTGATCAGTTCCACTTGTCCTTTATAGGATAGGAGAAAAAATATAACAACTAGACTGCTAAGAAATCTAAACCCCATTTCCTTTACTTCTCATTGTAATCCTCAAGCCACTACAATCAGCCCTTATGGATTCATTAAAAACTAATCTCTAAACTAGGTCATATGTGGATTTGACTCCTAGTGCGTCAAATAGTCTCCCCTTAAATCTAGAGGATCCACTCCTCTCTTGAATTTTCTAATAAACCTTGGACGGACAAACCTTCTTGAAAGTAAGCCGTTTTTTTGAGGGCTTTGGTTTAGTAAAATACAAGCCAAGAAATTGTCAATCGTGCAAGCTAAAAATTTGTTGGTTCTCTTAATTGTCTAATATCTAAGTGTTGGCGTGAACACTTAGGGCCACGATAAAACATTTAAATTATTGAACTACCCTGGTTTTCTAGACTATATTTTATACAAACATGAGGATCAATTCTTGTTTTGATCTGGTAATTAGGGCAAAACTTCTTTTGTCACCGGTGCTCGTAGTGCACAAAATTGAGTGGTGAAGTCTGACTTAATGTGGGGACCCATTTTGAGCATCACGCCATGTTTGTTCTTTTTCCTTTTTTTTTTTTATTATTTATTTTTAGGCATTTAGGCTATTTACTTTTTGGCATTTTCCTGCTATATTAGTTTCGCTTTCCTTAGAATATTGAAACGTTAGTCCAGGTGTGACCATTTTAAATACAAATGACCAAGGCCACCACATAGCAGGCTTGGCTTTCTAAGACATTTTAAAAACTTCAGTTCATATATAATTTCATGGAAGGTCGTCCTTCATGGAATAGGAGCAGTGTTTCAAAAAGCGATAAGCGGCACCTAGGCGGTTGGGGGGTCTAGGCCTCCCAGAACCTGGGCGGCCCAGTAAATTTTTTTTTTTGGGGTTTTGCTCTCTCTAAAATAAACTCTAATGGGTTTTAGGTTCATTTGAAACCTAAAACCCACAATTTTACACCTTTAGTATTAAAAAAAATGACCAAAAAATGGTCTCAACGAGCGGCATTTCCGCCCTTGGGCGGTAGACGGGTTCACGCGGGTGCCTAGGCGGGTTCCCGGGCTCCTAGGCTGGCACCCGAGGATACCCGTCTGATTTGGCCACCTAGCCCAGGCCTTCTGGACCGCCTGGGCTGTCCGCTTCTTGAAACACTGAATAGGAGTTTTGGCATTTACTCATTCCCACCAGATTCATTTGTAAATAGCAGAGCGATGTGCTTGTGAGGCTGATAATTAAGTTTTGGCCTTTTCCTTTTTCTTATATCTGTGTAAGTTTCCCTCTTTTTAAATATATGTATATTGTATAACACTGTTTTTGATGCTGATACTTTTTATTTTCTCAGCTGATAAAGAAAGATAAGAAACCCATTTATTGAAACATGATTATGTCTTATGAGCGAAACATTTTTCTTCAATGGCTAATTCTGAACTAAATAATGGATGTCCTTCTTGCAGGAAGTGGATATGTGGTCATATGGTTGTTTGATCCTGGAGTTGCTCACTCTTCAAATTCCATATGCTGAAATGTCAGATTCTGATGCTCACCATGCTATTCAGGTAGAGAACTCTCTCTCTCACTCTCTCTTTCTGTGTCTGCCTCCCCCCTGTGGACTTTGGGGGTGGCTTTTAGCGTACTGCTGGCATGTTACATGCATCAAAGTATGCAAACACATTCAATCTGTTCTATATTTAAATGTGTGCGCGTTTTAACAGTGAACTGAGTGCCAAAGTTTTCCTCAATGTGGTGACCTTTTTGAGGATCAACCATTTTGTTCTTTTTCCTTTTTCATTTTTCTATTTGGGCTTTGGCATTTAAGTTATCAATAACAAGATTGATATGGTTTACCTCAGAGTCTTAATGGTTATGGTTTTACATCTCTCCTCTCTATTTCTCTCCCATATTCTCTTTGTTTCTCGTTTTGACTCTCTCATGGTGCTAATCCATCAGAATTGGAACCCCCCCTCTCGCTCTCTCTCGCACACACACACATATTAAAGAACCCTGCAATGTAAATTTTGATGAAAACCCTTTAATGTGATTTTACAGATGGAAAGGCGACCCTCTCTCACGCCCGAGTTGGAGAAATTTGCTCCTTTGGCTGAGCAACCCCTCCTTGAACCTGACAAAGTTGACGAATCTGAATTGCTAAAACTGCTGGTCAAGGTGTTCTATATGTGCACTGAAGGAAAACCATCTGATCGACCCTCAGCCAAACAAGTCTATGATATGCTTTCTGCTGCCACTTCTCCAACCCCGGAATAGACTAGCAAATCCCTAACTTAAGGTTTCACCAGTAACCTTACCCATCAGGTTTTCCTGTTAACACCCAAAAGTTTTGTAGCATCAGGAAGTATATTTAGTTATTTAAAAGAAAGAGGTGTATTCAGTTATTTAAAAGAGAAAGGAGGCAGGTGATTTGTATTCATGATCTTTGTAGAGTATACCCTTTGTTGTGTCACATTAGTTAATCATATTAATTGAGGTTTTGGTAGCTTATTTAATACAATCATCTGTATTCATGATCTTTGTAGAGTATGCCCTTTGTTGTGTAACATTACTTAATCATATTAATTGAGGTTTTGGCAGCTTATTTAATACAATCAGCATAGCATTTTTAAGCATAAATTTTTACCTAGAGTAATTGATGAGTTTGAAGATTGGATGTGGTACTTCAGTGTGTGAGATGTTTGTATTGTGTAGTACTAAGAAATGGGCAAAACCCACATGAAGGGCCATTGATGCTCTCTTTTTTTCTCTCTCTCTCAATGGGCAAAGCCATGAGGGTCTCTCTTTCTTGCTCTCTATCTCTAAACGGGCAAAACCACAAAGAGACATTGACGCCGCTCTTTTCCTAAGAGGGGGAAGCATACACCATAGGCTTAGGCATGACGTTTATTCACGACAAAAGCTTTATAGTTCATGCTAATTGTACTTTCAGATGGCAGATATTCGCCCTTGGGTGCGATGCTTTTTCCATCGCATCGTTGGGAACAGAGTATGATGCTCCTGGGCACTTGTGTTTGATATTTATAATACCATTATTATATTGGAGTGGCACATCATGGGGACATCCATCGTCCATACGTTGCTGATGAACGGTGAATCGACATCAACACGTACAATACATTATTACGTTGTAGTGGCACATCATGGGGACATCTACTGTCCATTTGTTATGATGAACGGTGAAAATCGACATTAACACATTCATATTCACTTCGAAAAAGAGTAGATGCGTATGATAGATTCTCTTTCTCACACGCTCGTTTTGTTGATGCGCACGATGACAGACACGTTTCGAGGGGTCATTTAAACTGCATATTGATGATGCTGAGCTCCATTTGTTATCATTCAGTTTTTGAAAAAATTGCCTGGTCGCCCTTGTCCGACCTTGTGCCTTTTTTCTAAGTTAGTTCGGAAAAATATTGTTTCCGTTTTTTCATCTATTCTTTTAACATCTGAGCAGAGTATAGTCATAGCTTTATAGCATATTCTATAGGGCTATGGCTAAATTTTGGGATCATATATCCATATCAAATATCTAAGTTTTTAGGTTTAAGGTTAAAACCTTGAAGATATTTTTATTTGTTAGGGAGATAGTCATAGCTTTATAGCATATTCTATAGGCTATGGCTAAATTTTGGGATCATATATCCATATCAAATATCTAAGTTTTTAGGTTTAAGGTTAAAACCTTGAAGATATTTTTATTTGTTTGGGAGACAGAAAAATTTGACAAACAATTAAAGTAAATAGGTCTATCCCTTAAGCTAGATTATATAATTCTTAATAAATAATCAGTAAATTTTTTATGTCTACAATCTCTAGATTATTGATCCGTTCCAATTGTGATTGGCGATCCAGCGATTGGAGGGTGGACATTCTACTCCATTCCAGTTTTCCAAAAATTAGCATGCAATGCTTTGAGCAATATTTGAAACCCAGCAATCTGGATGGGGAATTGTAGGGGCCCGAACCCGTTCCGATATGGTATTGGTCCCCCCCCCCCCCACCCCCCCCCATTAGTCCCTACTCGACTTTACCCTACCCGACACCCCCCTCCTCTTTTTCTCGTTTTCGTACTTATCTAATATATTTTTAGGTTTTCTTGTTTTTTTTTTATTTATTTATTTTTTAAATTTATCTAATGCTTTTTTAGGTCATCTTTGAGAGAAAACCCCTCCCCCACCCCCAAAAAAACCAAAATTCAGGTTTTGAATTTGAAAAATGCCGAATCGAATTAGAATTGCCAGATGCATCTTGACAATTAGTGGGGTCATCTCGGTTCTCTAAATATATTGATAACAAGGTGGTTTTTGTTAGGGTTTGGCGGTTCTGATAAAACCAATTGGTTTTAATAGAACCAGCCGTTTTGGCACCATATTTTACCATCTACTATTATCAGTTTTTTTTTTTTTATATTGGTCGGTCCTCTTGGTCATATTGCCGATCCAGATCGACAATTCGTCGATTTAGACCAGCCGGTTCAACCTGCATGTCCGCAATTTTTAAGCATTGCTGTAACCTTTTCTTTTTTTAAAAAAAAAGAACTGCCAAGTACCAACTCCAAAAACGATCATAAACTGAACCATGTATTAAAAAAAAAAAAAAAACCCTAGCATGATCACCCCACTCTCTCTCTTATTCACCAACTTCCTTAAACTGGAATACAAGCAAAGAGCCCAACACCTTTGGACCCTTGAGTTGATTTTGTTGATAAATTTCCTTCGGTATTTACTTCTCATTTATACCTTTCATTTGGAAACCTGCAGAAAGGCGTTAAGCGTCGTTCGCATTCACTACCAACCCCAATAACATCATCACATCGTTTTGACTCTTTTATCTACATATCCGCATACCCATTTTGCTGTTTCCTGTTGCAGGCTTTTAATGGTGCGGTCTGTAAATGGCTATTGCCTATTGCTCTTGCTTTATTTGTTTGGTTGGCATGTGTTACCGCAAGGATCCGACTAGCACCACCTATATTTTACATTTAAGAGTTCTAGAGAGAGGAATAAAGAGAGATTTAACTCTTGGCAAAGATCAGGGTGGAGACAGAGGGACCATGTTACCGCTCTATGTAAGTCTAGGGCGTAGGCTTTTAGTGCACCTGCAGAGAAGGCCCTGTAACCCTACCACATATGGGCGTAGGCCGAGGGAGAAAGATCACTGTAACCCTACTAATATTAGGATGTACCTTGAGAGAGAGAGAGCAAACCCTAAAAGAACTTTTTTTCTAAGTCGGGTGAGGGACCACTCATGGTTCGTCAAATGGGTACCCTCAAATGTCCTTTCCTAGCATATGCCTTTTGTTCTCTTTTCAATTTAGGACGAAATGTTTTTTTATTTTATTTAAAAGTAAGTAATTTAGGACGAAATGTTATATTGTCAAAAAAAAAATAAAAAAATCGGACGAAATGTTTAGAGCACACATGACCCATATACTTCACATGGGAGCACAGTTTACTTCTACTCCTTTAGTTAAAAAAAAAAACTTAATTAGAACGGATTTTTTAAAATTTGAAATTTTGAGTCCCAATTAAGAATTATTAGGTGATTATTCTTAAAATATATTTTTGTAATGATTGGATCTTACCTTCTAAAAATTAGAGGGTCTCTCTTCAACCTCAAAATATTATTACTCTTTAAGTGTATACAGGATACAATTAGAATTTTTTTTTTTGAAGTTAATCTATGGGTTGAAGAGTATTATATCCTCAAAATTTGGAATACTATAATTAATTCTAGATGGGTTTTTATTCGTAGGAAATAAATGGGTATCTTTTTGGCAAATGTTTTTTCACTACTTACTATGAATTTAGAGCTGTGTCGAATGCCTTGTTACACATTTTGACTTTTGATGGTGGTTTAGAGATGAGTAACTGAAGAACCGTATTTTGCAAAGGAAAAAGTTTATATAGAGCCGAGGCTCTAAACAATCAAATTAGAGCTCACATCAAAACGTCAAATTGATCATCTCAACATCAAGATGCATGGACATGAGAAAAAAATAGATTTCAAGTTATGGAAATAGTGCATCTTGTAATTTATATTTAGACCGTTAATTTTCAATATTTTTAAGTTTCCATGCTTGATTTACGCTATTTTTGAAGCATTAACTTTTAAGGCTATTACAAAGATTTTCAATATTGAAACAACATTTCTCGATACTATTTGAAGGTGTACTTTATTTTGATTGTTTAGAGCCTCTGCTCTATACACACGCATCCTTTGCAAAACATGCAGTTTTGTAAAAAAAATAAGTATATTATGCTCCCTCAGTTTGGTTCTACTCCCTCGGACAAAATACTTGGGAGGATTTCTTCAATGTGAAATTTTGGTAACCACTTTAGAATCACTAGATGATATGACAAGGGAAGGTAAAAAAGAACCACCCTTAGCCAGAGCATCAGCTACAGAGTTAGCTTCTAGAAAAACATGAGAAAAGGAGAGCAATAAAGGGGAAGTTCCCATGGCATGCGCTGCTTCTTATTATACCATTTAATAACATTCAATAAATCCCCTTCAATCCAACAATTGTTACCACAATTCCTTACAGTAAAAATTTTCAAACCTTCGAGTAACTCTCTTAATTGCACGTGATTAGCAGTTGTAACATCAATTGGCCCAGCATAGGAAAAAATGATGTTACCCATATGATCAAGTGCCTCTCCCCCGATTCTAACTAAACCAGGATTGTCGAGAGAGTTGAGTTTCAAATAACCTGCTTGAGGCGCAATCCATATATTTTTCGGTCTATAACTAACCCAACAAAGAATAAAGAGATTGTGTAAGTTTACCATAACATCCACTTTCGAGATACCCCATCTCTCATTTAACATAGAAAGCCACAACCATATTGAGCATTTGATAGTATAAATCAGTCTGCCAAAACCTATGGAAATTCTTTCAAAGTTCCTCCTATTTCTTTCTTTCTAAACCTCCCATAGGATCACACCTTTAGCAATCTTCCATAAAGCCTTACCCACCTTGGGTAAATGAGGAAGTGATAATTGTGAAACTACCCATTCCACCGATTGAGGAACTGCTAAGCTGATACCTAAAACACCGAACAACCAATGCCAGATTCTCATCGTAAAAGAACAATGGATGAAAAGGTGAGTACCGGATCATCATTAGCTTTGCAAAGAAGGCATACATTAGGTAAAATTTTTCCCTTTTTAATTAGATTATCAATGATAAAAAATTTATTCATAACAACTAACTAAATGAATGCTTGTACCTTGTGGGGTAATGGCGACTTCCAAATCTGAGCAATCTGGGGGCATGACCATCTCCATCGATCATGAAAGAATAGACTATAACATGATTTGACAGTGAAAACACTATCACTTTCAATCTCCCAAACCAACTCATCCCTAGCATTCTGTGAAACATAGACTATATTTAGCATTTCCATAAGAGAGCACCATTGGGAGAGAATGACATTATTCAGCTGGCTATAGGCCAACTGAATGTTCCACGAGAGATTATTGCCTCTTATATCCACAGCTTCACTGACTAACATATTCGGCCTTGTAATAATCCTAAACAGATAAGGGAAAACAGACTTTAGAGGAAAGTCTCCAATCCATCTATG